TTTCACAAAACTGAAGTCAAACCATTCTGTTTATGCTTCAAATTTCTAAATTATACAATACAATTTAGATTAAAAACTGCTCATGTTGCATGTATGCAGCATCTTTGTTTAGATCATGATTAAAATGCAGTGATTGCCTCTCATTTTAAATGGAAAGAGCACAGACAAAGCCTTATTTTGTGTATATGAAGAGATTTCTTTTATTTGTGTTACTTATTTATTTGATTTGGGGCTTGTTTTAAATTTCAATTTAGTTTTGTTATTTACAGTTACATTATATTTAAATTTTATTTAGCAGACGCTTTTATCCAAAGCGACTTACAAATGAGGACAATAGAAGCAATCAAAACCAACAAAAGAGCAATAATATACAAGTGCGATATTAGTATATTATTATAGTGTTATATTTCAATTTCACAAAGAAATGCGCAGCATTTTGTCCAAGCAATAATAAAAGGACACATTTAATTTATAATTTGTCTTAAATCTCATTTTGTTAAAAAATAAATAAATTGTGAATCGAATCGTTAAATCAAAATCGTGAATCGAATCGTGAGTTGAGTGAATCGTTACATCCCTATGAACTAACAATGAAAAGTGCTTCTAAAGCATTTGTTAATTTTAATATTAATTTCAACATTTACTAATATATTATTAAAATCAAAAGTTGTATCTGTTTATATTGTTTAATGGATTTTACATGATTATATTATTTAATGGACTTAACATTTGATATTAACAAAGATTAATGAATACTGTATTTTATTTGTGTATGTATTTCTCATTGTTAGTTTATGTTAGTTAATGTGTTACCCAACTAACAATCAGGGGAAACCATGAAAAAGTGTATGGATTATGTGCGCTCATTAGTGTTGGGCGATATGCTCAATTTTCATATCGTCCTATAGTCAGCCTGTGAGATCGCCGATACACGATATTATCGTGCTAATTTATGTAATTATTTACTTAGTTTCATCGCGGGAAAGTGAACCAACTCCAGCGTAAGGCTAAAAGCAGCCTAAAGTTTTTTATATGACTGAATTTGTATTTAACATGATAACAAATTAAAAGAAACATCGTAAGTTACTAATTATAATGCTTACATTTCCTCAGTTATTCAAAAAGCAGCTACAGAAAATGAGCAAAGAACATTATATTACCAAAGAACATCATCACAAGCTCAGTCTAGCGAGTTATGCACTTTAAAAATACTACCGTTAAAATCAGTGAATATTGTGACGGTTCCCGTTACAATTTGGGTGATTTGTAGCTCCGCCTACGACTCGCCTCAATTTGCAGTCCATTGCCTACACCTACCGCTGTGGTTCAGACGCTCCTTTAAAATCAGATATTAGTAGAGACAAAGGAGTCTTGGACTTGGGATATTGGGTTGTGTTTGGTTTGATTTGTATTGGTTTGAGCACTTTTACATGGCTACAACAGCACATTACACTAGCAGCCAGGCACCCCGCTTTACACACTGATGATGCTGACGTTTTCAGAAATATTATCTTTTTCGTTGTGTTTTGTTCTATTATAGTGATTTACTTTTGAGCTTAATAAAGCCTTTTCCTATTGAGCCTTATGATTTCGTGTGTCCCTCCTTTTGTTGCTACCCTTTGAGCCAGGGGTTGTAACAATATACACTGCATGATGAATAAATCTCTTATACTTACACCGCACGTAGATCTGCACTTTGTTGTTTATAATGAGAGAATTCGCGAGTCAGATTTCAGTCAGCGCGTGCTGAACAACGGAACTCCGCTGTTTCAGTGATGACTCATCTGAACGCCTCTGATTGGCCATTGCATTCATAAACTCAGCATAATTGTGTATGATTGGTTAAAACACGCAATACTGTAAAAACGCGGAAAAAGAAATATAATGCAACCAATAAGCCCTAATATTAATTAGATAGTATTACTAGCCGGATAATAATATTAATAATCGTCTTGCTATTGTCAAAGGCATCAGCCACTGGCGATATCGCTGACTATCGTCGATACACGATGCTATCGTCTATCGGCACAACCCTAGTGCTCATTCGCATAAAGATTTTATGAATATGCTGTATACCTTCCCAGTCAAGCATCTGGAAGAAGTTGTTGGCATTGGTGTCTGTGCTTTGAGGAGAAGGGGAATCCTGCTCGGTCTGTGGCCCTTCAGGCGAACGCTCCGGCTGGGTCGGTTCAGAGGTGTAACAGGCTGTTGAACCAGGCTGACGTGGAAGCTCTGGTTTACCTGATCAACCAGAAAGATTAAGAACAAACATCTCAAGTTAAAACTAATTGGAAATGTGTAACATCATAATGTCGATGAGAAACAAGAACAGGGTATCTGCAGATTTTTAAAATGAAGACCCTTTTAAGACTTAAAATAACTTGAAATTAATTTATGTACCAATGTATGATTGCATATGAAATAAAGGTTGATTTATATTGTATTTGGCATAGACAATACAAATATATTTAAAGAAATGCAATATACAGATTATTGTGACAAAACTAATAAAATCTATATATTGAATGTGTTAAATAATGTTCTTCCTTTGACAGAGTGTAATTAAATTCTAGATATAGTTTATTGTGTAACCAAAATACCATTAATATACCAAAAAAATTACCATAATCCGTTTCTGAATTATAAACAAGCCTAAAATGGACAGGGACTCTTATTTTGAAATGTCTATGCTTTACTTCCAGCTACTCATTCAAAAAGATGAGATAAAATATGCACTCCTAAAACGATCCATAATATAAACACCATAAAGCAAACACTATCATAACTCATCAACAGTGGATCATAAGCAATCGCTTGGCATAAAGGCACAAGTATTCACTGATCTTGGTCTTTATATGTTTAATAATCACATTAGGCTGTATTTCAATTCTTTTGCTATACCATTTAAAATATTTAAGACTCAAACTGACCCTGAGACATTTTAAAACTTTTTAAGGACACGTGATAACCCTGAAAAATCTGAAAAAAAGCAACCAAATAGAGAGAAAACTCACCAAATTTTGTCAGGATCTCTTGCTGTTCATCTCGGCTGGAGAAAAGGATCTTGGGATTGAGTCCTTTCGTGGCAAAATTTTCCCAAGGCGGAGCCTTGTTGCTAGGGCGATCCTGAGGCTCCACCTCCACATTTACATGTACCTGGAAGAGGTCGGGGTATTTCTCTTGGATGTCGCACGCATCGAGATCATACCTGCAAACACACACAGCACCACCATCTTAAAAGAGCATCACATTTTGACATAAAACTGAATGTGAAACTGATATGAGATCATTCTAAGAGTAAAGTGAAACTTACTTTGCAAATCTGACAGTGGAGGCGTTTCTGGGCACAAACCCAGTATGGAATTGAATCTGAAACACCTTCATGGAAGCCATCTACAAAAACCACAACACAGCATGTGTGCAATGAATCGCAATGACTAAGAAGCATTAACAAAATATGAACAATGGGTGGAAAAGGTTTCAAGGGCTTCCAGTGTGAAGATCTGTTGGAAGCAAGCTATAGAATAGAATAGAAAGAATAGATATCCCTGTAGGTGAAATGAGAAAATTTACCAGCCCATTAATATTTCTTATTGTCCAAAAAACACTTTTTATTTTACTATTTTAATGCCATATCAAAGGCTATATTTAGAGCAAAAATAAAAAAATTATACAATAATAAAAAAATCATACAATATGCAATTAAACTTAACATACATTACAACATACCAACTATACTATATAAAACATAATAATAATAAAATATTTCATGGAAATAATTTTATAATTTCTATCAATTATTAAAGATTTTAGAAAGTTTTATATTTTTATTGAGTCGTTTTATATAATATATATTAAAAAAATTATATAAAATGATTATATTAACGACTATGTAACATCTGTGTTAAATAATTGACAAATTCTAGTATTGTTATCATCTATGAAAACGTATTATGCATTGTTTTATTAATAATATATATTAATTATGTGTTTTCCCTGTAAAATGAGTTATCCCCGTTTATCCATTGTATTTTGCGGCAAAACAAAACCTCCTAAACTTGTAATCAATCGAAACAAATCTCACAATCAAACAGCAAAAAAGAAAAAACGTAGTGAACCATCTTAATTTTGTTCCTTATTTTCATTATGGTGGCTTTAAATGGATGGAATTATGACATACGAGGTACAATTTGTAAAAGAGATGAACAATTGTTTTTTGTATTATTTATTTATTTTTAATTTTTAATTGCTCTGGGTTAATTGGGAAGAGACTGAAAATGTAAAAAGTATTACAATATTATAACTACATTCGCTTTTGCAAATAAAAATCGTTTTTAAAAGATGCACAATGGTATATTTGTCTGAGATTTGATTTGCTCAAATTGTCAGTAAGGGTTAAACTGCTGTTCTTACATCGCTGTTTACATCATAATCCATTAATGCCATTTATATCATAATAATGCCATTCCTAATAAAGTTACCGGCCAACTGGTCAGTAACATTTTACTTGCATTTGTTAATTTCTGCTTATAAACACGTACTGGGACAATATTCACAAATATCGGTCACTATGAGTCTTACTTTGGCCTGCAGGCGTCCGCCCAGCGTTGAGCGTGAGTGATAAATCACTATCAGCACGTCTCCCTGCACAGTTATATTCAGAGGAATCTCCGCTCGCCCGTCCTCCATCTTAAAATCCCTGCAGAAATGGCAAAGTTAGTTAGAGATGCACTAGCTATATATATTTTTTTCAATAATGTCCATCAGCAAGGAATCACATGACGTTAAGTTTCATCACAGGGTGACTTACTTCATTCTGTCATATTCCTGTGAAGTGGTTGCGACTCGCTCGTCACCGACGTAAACCTCACAGAACGGCCGACAGCCGTTTCGCTGCTTATTAAAGAGTGGTACGGGAGTCATGGCGACGGAGCGGATGGTAATAGGCTTGCTGTGGGGGATTATGGGCTCTTCTGCCAGCATATCACACATGTATTCAATATACCTACAAACAACAACAGTCATCAGTTAGGACGCTAGGCTCCATATGACTAGTAAGTCAAATCTCAAATAACTGCCATGATAACTTTTGTTCTACCCGCTTAAATGATAGAAGTACTTGCGCTGTCCAATCTATAAAGACTGTGTCTGTTCCCCGAATAGTGAGGTCAAAATAGGCCTGGGCGATAAAACGGTATCGATATTTATCGACGGTACACCATCGATTACAATATAAAAAATGTTCGATATAGAGCATGATATAGGCACGTGCTATGAGTGACACAGACAGCTCACACAAACACGAACACATGCTGAATTGAGTGCTGTGCCTGCCTGTGATGAGGAGATTGTGAATAAAAAAATGAATATTAGTCGAATTTAAAATAAACATTTGCATTTGAATGCAAAAATGGTACAATTGAATGTTAGGAGTGGGTCGGGGAGCGTCATCAGTGGTGCGCGAGATGCGGTGATGATGATGTAAGTGACGTTGCATTTTAATGTTTTGTTAGTCTAGCCCACGAGACGCGCCGCTGCGGTGTTATTCGTTCAAAATATTAGAGAAATATATTAGCTCAATGCGTAGAAGATCTTGATTAGGTTAAAACAGAAACCAAGCCAATTTACACAGAACACATATTCAGCACATTTTTACACGGACAAATATGACTGCTGCACTCATGCAAGAGATGCAAAGAAAGTCATGCAAAGTTAAAACAGTTTTAACGTTTAGAAAACGCGACGCGAATTTGTGAAGGTTTATTTCATTTCACTGCGTCTCATTTGTTTTTAAATGAAATCTGTGTTATGCACGTTTTTATAGACAGTTGAATTGACAGTTTAATGTGCTGCATTATTTTGCTTATTTCGC